TGGGTTTGTGACGAACCCAGGCGCAAGTTGGGTTCGTTGCCAACCTAGTCTCGCGAGCTGGGTTCATCCTAGGTTTGCGAAGAAGATGCGGATAGAAATGGCAAATGAAAAGATAAAGGGAAACAATTATTTTTTTTCTTTTTATTATTTTAAGACCTATTGATTACATGGAAAATAAATCTGATTGCCAACTCATCAATTTTGCAACGTGTAATCCTATGTCACCATTAAAAAGAACAAAAAAGAGATATTTAATGGATAATTGTGTCATGCTGTCACTTAACTGACAGAAGGACTAAAAAGGGGCCGGAGTTCAAACAGTAAGGATCAAAAAGGGGATTTTTTCGATATAGGGACTAAAAAGGGGCTTTTTCTTATAGTAGAGGGACCAAAAAGGGTATTTAACCTATCTACAATAGTAGAAAATATAGAGAAATTAATAAAAACCTTCATTGAAATTAGAAAACTAAATTTAAATAGAAAAAATTGTTCTTTAAAACTCCAGAAGAAAATCTAAAAACCATAAATAAAAAAGAAGGCTAGAACAATAAGAAACAGGAAATGTGGATGTTTGACTGGGGAAAATTCATATTAAAACCACGACTATTAAGGCCAATTGGAGAACGTATGATTGGGGAAAATCTTAAAAATTTGAGAAAACGTAGAACATGTAGAAGAAATGATATATTGGGAAGGAAAACTATAAGAACTAATTTTTCCCAAAAGAGATATCAAAATGACTAAAAAGGAAGAGGTGAACCATCTGAAAGTGGCAATAATGATGAAGGACCTTCAAAGAAAAGAGAACAATGGAATTATGAAAAAATAGACAAATTTGCTAAAGAATATGTAAAATATTTAAAACCCAAAAAGGTAAGGAAAAAGAATTCTAGAAAACCATATCCACCTCCTAAATCCTCCATGGTCCTTGATGTTGAGAAACGTACTTCTAACATAGCGGCTATCTTTTCTTTAACGTTTATTGTTTATCCTCTTACATCTACTACTTGTCTGGCCTATTTCAACTCAAGATACTTTTTCATATATTGTCTGCAGTCATTTGTCATTTCTAGAGATATATTGCAGATGTCATCTTGGGATTTGTGGGTTGCCACGTAGTTTTTGGGAATTCTATCTTTTTCTTCTTTCAAAATATTATCCTTTTAGTGCCTGCAAATGTTTTCCATCCTAAATACTCACTTTCTCTAAGTGTTGTTACCATGTTCAATAATGATTTGGCTTTGGCAATGACAACGAAATTACTTCATTCTACTTGATATGTCAACTTTCCTCTATGTGTTGGGAGATTCTACCCATAATTTTTTCCAAGTCTAACAACATAAAAGCTTGAAATAAAGTAATTCCTTCTCCTCATTTTAGTGGAGTATTGTACATTTCTAGGCAAAATCTCATATTAAATAGAATTTTAATTCCCACTCAAAAAAAATCTTTAATTAGTTGAGGGAAAAATGAGAACAAGTAATTAATATCTTTGCTATTGAAGATCATCTTCCTAAGTAAATCTTACTTCAAATAACCAGGTTGATACAAATGATGAGCATGGCAGTATTAATAAATACCAACTTTGACTTGCATCCTGAATTTATATTTTACCCCTATTTATGTAACACAATTCTCATAGAGATACATATAAGATATAAACTAAAACTGCATTACTGTTGGTTGCATATATAGTTGGCATCTGAGTCCTTGGTTAACAATAATAATAATAATAATAACAAACAAAATAGTTGAGACTATAATGTTAAAGAATAAAAAGGGGAAGAACTAAAAAGTAAAAGGTGGTGTGCAACATATCTTGTGTACAAATCAGTGTGTTTACATGATTGTAATTAGAATCAAGTATGTTTACATGATTGTAATTACAATCAGTTACTTTCTCATGATAAGGCATATGAATTGATAAAATTCCTTCATTTAATGTTATATACTTAGTTATTAATTATGAAATTAAATCATGAAATACGAGCAAAATGGTAGTTAAATCAAACTTGTTATAAGTATATAATTATCAAATCTCAATTTAAGATCATCTCACTTTGACCAACCACCCAACTCTAGTTTATAATGATATTTCAAAAAACGAATGCTAATAATTGAATTAGATAGAAAGAAATGAATTTTTTATTCAATAATATAAATTATTTTAAATTATAAAATATAAATTATTAAATGTGAGAGAGCCTATAATATTTCTCATATATATGTGGTCCGATTGTTTTGTTTTACGAAGGTATAAGGCTGGAATTAGTTTTTGTATATTAGAATAATTCTCAACCAAACACTGGAAATGGAATCCAACTTAGCCATTTCCAACTTTAGAGGAATGAGTTATGTCAAACATGTCCTAAATGGGATTTTGTAATCTTTGGCGAAGAAGGAAACAAGCAATTTTGGAAGTAAATTTCCCCAATAAGGTAATTTTAACTTGTTAACTAAAAAAAACAAAAACAAAAACAAAAACTTACCAAGTAAGAGAAGGCATATTCTTTATTGAAAATACTATTTTATTTTATCATTTACAACAAGAATACGTTTGACTTGAAAAAAATAAAATAAAGAGACAAGTTTTTTAATTGATTACAAATTATAACATGTTTTAATATTAGTATTTTCTTTTCTTAACATCAAGGTTTGCAAATTCTAAATGATGGAGTCTTTTTTCTCCTAGGGTTGGGAGTGTTTCTTTTTTTCTCCTCAGAGTTGGGAGCATAGTGGCGATGGTGTGAATCTCTGGACGTTTCCTCAAGATGGCCGACACACATGTGAGGGATCTGACGATAGCAATGGGGAAACAACTATCTTTGACGATGGAGGAAGACATTGGACTCGATTTGGATGCTGGAAATGGTATTGACCTGGAGGGGGGCATTTCAAAATGGTGTCTTGTCAGCACAGTACTGACTCGGAAGTGGTATAATATGGAAGCACTGGAATCAACGCTGGCTGGTGTGTGGAGGCCAGTCAAGGGTCTGCACATGAAAAGTTTGGGAAATAACCTATTTGCTCTTTATTTTTTTCATCCAGTGGATATGAAGCGAGTAATGGCTGCAAGTCCTTGGCGGTTTGCTGACCATGTCATGGTCCTAAAAGAGGTGCAGGAGGGTAAACCGGTGGCAAAAGAGGATCTTGTTGAGGTTCCTTTCTAGATCCAAATTTATGGCCTACCACCAGGACGCATGACCAAAGCAACGGGTGAAAGGATTGGTGCAGAACTTGGAAGACTCCTCGAGGTGGATGCAGGGGATGGACGGATGCGGGGTGCGGAGTTCATTCGTCTGCGGGTTTGTATTGACTCAAGGAAGCCTTTACGTCGGGGTATGAAGCTTTCTTTGAAGGATAGGCCACTCTGGATCTCTTTCCAGTATCAGTGACTTCCAGATTTCTGTTACTGGTGTGGTATGTTGGACCATGTTGAACGAGATTGTGAGCTGGGACTGGAGATGGAAAGTACAGGGTTGACAGAGCATCCTTATGATGATAGCCTTTGAGCCATGCCAAAGCGAGGAAAACAAGGGGCACCAGCGAATACTGGGAGATGGCTGCGCAATGCTTCCGGCAACCCCGTCAGAGAAGAGCCACGGTGGAGGAGCCAGAACCCAAAAAATGGAAAGCCACTCAAAATTGGAAATTCGCGGTCCCCATGGAGATATGATTGATTTTAATGGCCATGACTGGCAGAGAAATAAGGAAGATTTGGTTGGGCAAATTGAAAATACTAATATGGGAGCTAATCTCAAGTTTGAGAGAAATATGCTTGATGAGCGCCATTCTAGCCTGGAGCAATTAGGCCCTCATATGGAAAGGCAGCAGACTCAAGGGATTTTAATGGATCCTACAAACACTAATAATGAAATTACTATGGTTAACAGTAATATTTCAACGGAGCTAGATCATGGGCGAGAAATGCTACTCATCAAGAGCTATGAGCCAGCTGGGCTAGACACCCCACACATTGTAACAGACAAGCAAAGCCCAAGCCGCTTCGAGCCCACCCCCCCAACCCAGACAGGGGCTACAGGCCCATTGTTTATGTTCTCTTCTGCACAGAATACCAATCCCTCCAAGAATAGATCTTGGAAAAAGGATGCTCGGGAGCGACGCCACCAAAACTCACCCATTTCACTATCTTCAGGAAGAGCCAAGTGAAAGGATGAGCAATCTTTAATTATCAAAAGTGGGCAAACTGGAAGTGAGAAGCGTGGGAAAGGCATAAGTGATGATGGAGAAGCTATTATTTTATCGACGGGCGCTGTTACGCAGGCCTACCGCTCACCATGAGTATCTTTGCTGGAACTGTCG